TTCGTCTCCGTTTTCAGCGACTTGCTCTTCTTCTTAAGACAAAACATTTTCGAGACGAAATCGCCGTTGATCAAACCAATCGATTTCTTCTCCGACTTGCAGAGAACAAATTTAGGGATTTTGATTTTACTTCAGTGGTAGAGTTTTTGAGCGCGTGCGGTTTACATGCTCTGCTTGCGCGTGAGAAGCATCCACAGAACATGAATGGCTAATCATTTGCATTGAATCTTTTAATGGGCCTCAAAACATTAATTTTGTACTTCTTTTTGGTGTCGCCTAATTTTCGAAAACATAAACAATTTCTTTTATATTTTGAGCAAAAAATATAAGAAGGAAGAAGAATTTCGTTATATAGGTGAACTTTTATTGAATTTATTTTTATTTGGGTAAGTGTTAATTTAATCAAATAATATTTCTTGCCGATTCGGCCTTTTTCGGTTTTTGTGTTTTGGGTTTTGTGCAAAAATCTTTTATATAACTAGTTTTTGTAAGATAAATTTCTATGTAAAAAAAATGCAGATTAATACCACAATCTCAAAAGTCATCCGTAATATAGTAATTCTGTGTAGTAATGATGTGACAGTCGATAACTCCGTTAGAATGCATAAGAGTTTTATGCAAAAAAATTCTCCATGTAATTTTATTTTGCAAGATAAACCTCTATGTCAATTAAATGCATGTCAATACCACAATCTCAAAAGTCATCCATATAATCCTTCCATTTAGCAATGATGTGACAGTCGATAACTCTGTTAGAAAACATAATATATGTCAAAACGACATTGTTTTGCTTCGGTTGAAAACGACAAGATTGTGCGAGCCTCGTTGATAGAAATAGAAGCGGGAGAAATAATTAGGGTTCTATCATATTAGATCTTCTTTATTCATTTGAAATTTGGAGATTCATTCTTCTCCGAAGAATTTAGGGATTTGACTTTACTGATAGAGTTCTTGGGCCTTATAGAGATGATCTAATGTAATTTTCATTGAATTTTAATGGGTTTTATAGAAATGATCTAAATTATTTTGATTGAATCATTATGAGCCTTAAAACAATAATTTTGAATCACCCATAAATTTCTATAACACAACTCAAAATTGCCAGTAGATTAATTTCTTTTTTTGTGCATTTGAATCTTACTTTATTTGAATTATAAAATATTATAAAAGGAGTATACTGTATGTCAATGCAAAATGAGTTAACTGAATTATGATGACGATGTTCGATTGAGAAGAAAATAAAAAACTGCATTCCGCTAAAAACACAAGACATTCCTTCAACTGTGACATAGTAAATAAAAGAGAGCTTCATACCTCTGTCCTGAGCCATTAAACAAAGAGTAGCAGCAGTAGCACACAAGATTTTGTAAGACTTAGGGACTCTAAGCACCGCATTGAACCACTCGACCTTCCCCCAAATCTCTTCACTGTTGCGCATTTCAAGCGAAATCTCTGCACACCAAATCATCTTTTCCTTATACCCACTTCAGGCACATACTTGTCCCACAAAACCACCAGCTTGCTGCCATACTCCGCCAATTTAACAGTACAATATCTAGAAAACTTAGGTAGCCCTTCTAAACCCTTTAATATTCTGTAAACTGCTATACCCTCAAATTTTCTCCAAACAAAAGTTCCATCCCAATAACAATAGGTTATGTTCTTTATCATACAAGAAGAATGTCGATATAAATCTGTATCCAATCCGCATGTCAAATTCTTCGACTTAGAGCTCAAAGTCAGACCCTTCCCAGCAGACACTAAATCAAAATTCTTGTAGTAAACCTTTCCTTCCAAATTTTCCAATTCGAATATCCGTTTTTCTGGCGGCACCGGTTTCCAAGTTTGAGTCTTTGTGTTGTAAACTTTAACACAGTTCAAAGAATCAGGCTTTTCAGAGCTTCCTGGTAAATACATTCTTCCTTCAAATACACTATACTAGTGTGACTGTGTGAGCCAGTCTCATTCTTGGAGCTTCATGCCAAGTGTGAGTTCGACAATCAATGAACGGAATGTTAGAGTAAGGAGCCTTTTCGAAATCTGCGCTAATGGCGTAGAGATGATGACCAACAGATATGATAGCTGACCATTCCACAGGAGGAGAGTTGGGGACTGAGATTGGAGCCAAAAGATTAACACTTGACTTCTCCTCCTTCTTCTTCTTCGTCTTCTTCTTCTTAGTGGTTTGGTCGGTTAGGGTTTGATTAGGTTTCTGGTAAAGAGTGAACCAGCGAGGGTTAGCTTCATTAGGGAAGCGTAAGCACACATAGAGAAATGTCTCGATTCGACCTAAGAGGGTTCGGGTTTGGTAAAGCTCCGGTGAAGCAAGGATCGATCGGAAGGTTTTAGAGACTAAGGAGAGATTTGTGTAATATGATCTCCAGACGCGGGCTAAGATGCTCACTATCAAATCTTCTGGAAGTGATGGATTTGGGGTTGATTCCGCTGACCGTTTCTTCCTCTTCTTCTCTGGAGAAGACATTGGCGAGAGATTAGTTGAATTCTTAGGCTTCTTCTCCGATTTGCAGAGAACAAACTCAGGGAGGAATTTAGGGGTTTGACATCACTCTCACTTCACTCGGAGAGTTCTTCGAGCATGGGCCTTATAGAAATTATCTAATTCATTTTCATGGAATCTTCATGACCCTTAATGACTCCTTCAATTGTGACATACTAAATAAAAGAAAGCTTCATACCTATGTCCTCAGTCATTAATCAAAGAGTAGCAGCATTGGCACACAAGATTTTATAAGACTTAGGGACTCTAAGCACCGCATCAAACCACTAAACATACCCCCAAATCTCTTTACTGTTGTGCTTTTCAAGCAAAATCTCCGCACATCAAATCATCTTCTCCTTATACCCACTCGCATGCACATACTTGTCCCACAAAAGGACCAGCTTGCCGCCACACTCTGCCAATTTAACAGTACAATTTTAAACCCTCTAAATTTTCTCCAAACTGCTTTCTTACCATCAATGGTTTTACAACCAAACGATAGCATTAAGAAAATTATCGAATCCGAATCAAAATTTTCAAAGACGAACTCAAACAGAACTGTAGAAATTCTCGAATAAAAATAAAAATTTATATATGAAATAATCCCATCTCAAACCGAACTGAATCCAAATTAAATAAAACCGAACAAACTAACCAAGATTCATTAAAAGATGCAAAACACCATATATTTCTGCAGCATATTCAGTGAGTCACTAACTTTTTCAACAGATTCTTCCTTTTTTTTGGCACAGAGAACACCTAAACCTCTCTTTTTCACACTATCATTCATAAGTCCAATTTGTTTGTTTAATAGAGGACCAAAAAATTGATTGTCGAGTATATTGTTACATTTATTTCTTCCTATGAACCAAGTAATCACGTATATTAAACAAAGAGGACCAAACATTCTTCAAGTATTTATTTGTTATATTTCTTTCTTCATATGAACCTAGTAATCACGTATATTCATAAAAACACACGGTCTGTCAAATGCATCATAGTGGTCAATGGCAAAAAATAAGTTAACCCTTCAAAATTTCAACACAATTCAAAAATGAAAGTAGAGCTTGGGACACATGATCAATTTAATTTTCTGTAGATTTGAATCTAACTTGAATTGAATCATAAAAAATAGAGAGTATATAATTGGATAATAATATGTTCGATTGAGAAAAAAAGAAAGAGTTGCTTGATAAAGTCCACTCGTATAATATCAAATTCAAGACCCTATTGGGGAATGAAACAGAGGATCCTCAAATTGTTTCAGAAGTAATTTCTTTGTAGGTTAGTTTGGCTACAACTACAAGAGATGAACATAAGCCTCAGTTTAAACAACAAAACAAGCACTAACTCTGTGTATCTTGTTATAGCTCTTCTCGTGAATGTAAAGAGAAGTGTACTCTTCTATGCAACACAAACAAAAGTATTCTCATAGACAAAGTAAGCTTAATCAGTCTCCACGTGAGTGCATATGTTTACAAGTGAAACAATGTCCGCTAAAGCATGAGAGAAGCATTCATCATAGTCATACATATATACATATATTAGCATGGAGAATCGTCGATGGCTGCGGTAATGGCGTACAGATTAGAACCAACAGCGATGAGACTTGACCATTCCAAAAGAGGAGAATTGCGAATTGGGGTTGGAGCCAAAAGTTTAACACTCGACTCCTCTTTCTTCTTCTTCTTCTTCGTAGTTAGGGTTTGATTAGGTTTCTGGTGAAGAGTGAACCAGCGAGGGTTAGCTTCATTAGGGAAGCGTAAGCACACATAGAGAAATGTCTCGGTTTTGCCTAAGAGGGTTCGGGTTTGGTATAGCTCCGGTGAAGCAAGGATCGATCGGAAGCTTTTGGAGACTAAGGAGAGTTTTGTGTAATACGATCTCGAGACACGGGCTAATATGCTCACTATCAAATCATATGGAAGTGACGGGTTCGCAGTCGGATCTTTCGACGGCTTCTTCTTCTTCCACGGTGGTTGGCCGTCCGTGAAGGCTGAAGCGGTGGACGACATTTGTGAACTATCAAAATTTAGGGTTTTGAGCTTTACGCGCCTGAGATAAATTCTACCGTGGGCCTAAATTTAGAGATTAATTTTTTTTTAACTCTACACTATTAATTATTTTTATTCATAAGTAAATTATTCGAGAACTCTTATTTGATTTTTGAATGAAAAAAAACTTTCATTCAGAAGGAAATCTTCTACAAGTAATAACAAGTTAGTCTTAACAATGTAAATACAAAGGTAACACAACCTTAAAAAAATTAGTCATCGAATTGCATACGATCTTAAGCAATCTTAAGCAATCTATCACATACATGTTGAAGAAGTTTGATGAGCCTCTATATAGTTCTAGGTCTGAATATTCTTATGTATTTTTCTCTGTTGTAAACGTGGATTGAGAAGTAATTCTTCTACAAGTAAACGCAAACAATTAATGACAAACTAGTCTCAAATGTAAAATCTCATTAAAATATTCCAAATTGTTGTTTACTTATTCGATAAAGGAACTTTCATTCAAAACTAAATCTTCTACAAATAAAAAATGGGAACATCATAACAAAGAATGACAAACTATTTTTAGCGAAAAGGAACATTAAGGAGATAGAAGAAAAGAGAAGACAAACGAACACACGAAGACTACACATTAGTAGAAACAGTTTGATCAGCTTTTAGGTCTTCAGATTCCTTGCAGCACAAGCTGCCCCATCTATTTTTAAATTGCATAATCTCCATTACGATCGCGAACATTCCAATGACTCCGATGATGGTAGTGTAAGCAATCTTCCATGAGCTTCCAGGTTGCAAGATGGCTAAGCCTTTGTAGATGTTGTAGACGCTTAGTATAATCACTACATATCCCGTAGTGTGATGGTACCAATTCCAATATTTTCTATACTTATGTTCCTTGTCTGGTCTTGCTTTGAGGGCAAGTATCTGTAGAAAACCTAGAGCGAACAAAACGATCCCGATCACGGTATGTGGTGTAGATCTCATTCCTGTGTGTTTAGCCATGTAGATTGCAGTTCCTAGTCCTCCCAATAAACCACCGAAATAACCAGTGGTTTGGAAAATGATGTGTATGTAGAACCACATGGGATCCAGTCCTTTGTAGGTCCTCATGTACCTTGCAGCTATGACACCAATAGGCATGAAAATACCCCAACACACCGCGTTCACTAGTCCATGAATTTTTTTGACTAGTAACATGTTATCGTTAGCTGCTTTTGTGGTCGTGACTTGTCCGGACAGCAAATCCAAAGTACCCGTGGATTTAAGATGATCTCCACTCATGGCGTGCATCCCAAGTCTATCACCTTCCTTCAAGGGACCGTCTTGCCATAAATGATTCACGACGGTTATGTTAGAAGGCAACACTATAGTAGCAAATATAGTCATCTCTCCATTGACATATTCACCGGATAGTTGCAATACACGGAAGCTGAGAGGACCTTCTTGAAGCGTAGGTGAGTACCCTTTGATTGAGGAAGTATAGACACGCATAACACCAGACGTGGAATTACGGTAAGCCAAGAGAGTTTGAGCACCTGACATGCCTTTGCTTGTCGGATTTATCCCCCAAGCAATCCAACTAGAAGATTCAACGTTGATGTGACGATACGCAACTTCAAGCACTCCGGTTTCTCGAACGTAACTGAAGTGTAGAAAAGAATCTAACACGGGAAGGTCGACGCATGAACGGAAGTGTTTGCCGTTGTTAAAGCTGTGTGAGTCGCATCTAGCTTGAAGTTCATCGGTTGTTGCTCTAGTGAGGTGTGGAGCGAGCACGAACAGAAAACACAAAACCACAAAAACGGTTGTTCTTGGAGACAAAGACATGATGATGATTGCGTTTTTACTTGTAGACAAACGTAGGTTAAATCTTCCGAAGTCAGAGTCTTGCTTTGCTTTGGAAGAAAGAGATTTCTGAATTTTGGACTAATGTAGTTCGTGTATTTATACGGGTATAGGTATACAATCCCAAGTTTGTTAGAGAATATATGGTTTTATTATCCTTTGCCAATATATATCCATATTTTAATACTTTTCCTTTTCTGCCAAAACAAATTCTATATTTTTATGCTTTTTTTCTTTTTTGCCAAAATATTTTCTTTCATATTCGAGAAAACATTTTATTTTTGTAATCTATTTATTCATATCAATGAAGGGGCGTCTAACCTCCTTTGTTTCTTTCTGGACATCTTTGGGTCTCGATCTGTAATTTTATATTTACCTTTGCTAAGATGACAGAAAAAAAAAATAGTTTGTCTATTTACATCATTACATTAATCATCACATAAAATATTAGTAACTAGTATTTTGGCCCGTGCTATGCACGGGCTTCATCATATGTAATGTATTTCAGTTGATTAAAAATCTAAAAATTAAGATAACATAATTGAACGTAGAAAAAGATGAAGGGAGAAAACATTATCTTAAGTGTTTGTTTTGGTTCTGCTACATGATATATAGGACAAAATCATAATTAAGAAAAAAGTTAAACAAATATAAAACTTAATTATATGTTTTTGCTGAAAGTAGAAATATACAAAACATGTAGATAAAGGAAACACATGGAAATTGATCGAAAGCTTTCGATACTTGGTTAAAAAGAAAAACAAAACAGAGTAATCATCACATTTTCTCTTTCTTTGGAATTAGAGTCGCTGGCATATTTTGTATATGCTTCGTTGATGAAAGGTTTGCGCCATCATCCTCAATTACAGCCTTGTTTGACTTCTCTTTAGGCTTAGTTGATGCAAGATTTGCACCATCATCCTCAATTACACCCATGGTTGACCTTAGTTTAGGCTTTGTTGATGAGAGTTGTCCAGCGTCTTCTTTAGTTATAACCACAACATTTGGTTTCTGTATCTTTGATAAAAGTTGTGCACCACCATCCTCAGTTGCAGATGACGTTATTGCTGAAGTAAATGTTCGCTTTTTGCTTGGAGTAAGTGGACTTTCCGTGGAACCACACATCGACTCGTTGTTAGACGCTTCGAAAGAGGCATCATCGATCTGACAAAAACACAACATAGATTGCTAAAGTGACGGGAAACACAACCATCAAGACTAAAGTAGAAGAAGGCCGTACCATGTTGCTAGTGACTTCTGTGGAGTTTGAGAATTGAGAATCAATAGCAGGAGGATTAGCCTACATGGAAATTTTGTAAAATAATTAAGACAAACGAAATGTATAAGTGCAAGATAAAACAGAGAAATTCTATCATCCATACCGTGTTGTTATTGGCACCACAGAACATCAAAAGTTTCGCGGGGTCATCCGTGATTTTAACAACTTTATAAGTGGCCGGTCTATAATTTTTTGTTGTCGAAGGTTTGAAAACTGTGAAGACAAACTGGCGACCATCTAAAGCTAGGAGTTCAGGAGGAAATTGAGTCCCACGGTTGAACTGCAATAATGGTAGAAATCATTTACCATTAAAAATAGGAGACAAAAGATGAATATAGAGAATGAAGTTTACCTGAACTTGTTGCTCTAGCAACTCATACGCAGATTTGTGAATCAGTTGAATGACCTCCTTGTCAAACATAAGAAAAGAAATGGTTCCTGTATCATCGACTACTTTAACATGAACCTGGTACATGTGAAATTTTTTTTATATAAATTATCAATTATATAGCAAAATATAAGCATAATGATGAATGAAAAACCTTGTGACAGTGGAATCAACAACTTTTTGGCAGAGGTCACATGAAAATTTATCAGCCTCTATTTCTTCAGTATCTGGATTCAAATATTGGTTTACTTTTCTTAAACATGTTGGACAACCGATGTAGAACCAAGGAATCTCAGTTTTAAGTGCACATATTGTTGCATATATAGAACACGTCATTTCCTGAGATAAAGATGAAAACAAAATAAAAAATTTGTGTAATTAGTATTATATATACAAATATGTGAGAACATTAAAGAATATAGCTAACCTCATGTGATGTAAGTAGCTCAGCAATAGTTTTGCGAGAATCTAATGAAAAGTGATGCGAGGAAACTTCTTTAGAGTTTGACAAAGTCAAAATGGAGCAACCACTGGATGTGGCAGAGACGACATCTTTAGGCATCCTATTATATATTTAAAAAGATATTACACATAAACTAAAAGAAATATAACACCAAAAAAATGCAAACGATTGTGGTTACCTTTCTTTGAATTCGTTTATCTCAGCAATGTCAGAATTAATGAAGAGCTTTGTTGACGATTTTGCACTTTGGATTGTGATTTTTCCTAGATAAAAGATCAATAAAGAGAAACAATGCTAAGATTGGTAGGTTTTGGAAAAAAAAAATTAAGACAAAAATCAATTGATCAAACCTACCATTATAAACATTAATCCTCATGAGACTACAAAGCATAACAATAGGTCCACCAGAAAAGGATTGAACATAGGAATGTATGTCTTCAGCAAATTTTTCCCAAAATACACAATCAATTATTGAATCACTGCAAACATAAGAACACGATTTAAAAGGGAGATACATAATAGATTAATGAGAATGATTACCAAGTTGGAAGCTACTAACTCAAGGCTCTTGAGTTGAAGATTCAGCAGTTTACATGGAGCATTGCGAACAGTAATTTCCTTAAGATCTTTCATTCCAACGATTTCACCAATTACATCTGTATTGAAAACAAAAAGAAGGAAAAATTCATAAGAATATAAAAAGATCCTAAACTTTGAATAAATATACATTGATGGTGATTACACGTACCAAGGAACACGTTTTCGTCATGTCTCTGGAGCTTATCAAAAGGGATGAAACTGAAACGAAGTGAGTGGTTTGGGATTTCCTCACAAGGCTTCACAATTGTTGACGAAGTGAAAAAGATTTTGAAAGAATGTCCAGTTGCCCTGTAACTCCCAAGATTAGGAGACAACTTAAAATTCATCAGTATACAACATTCTCCTTCTTGGAGATCTTTTTCGAACTTTTGAATTGATTTTCCTCTGATGCATGCTTGTATACGGTCTCCCTGTCATTAAAAGGGAAAAAGTTGGATTACAAAAGTACAGAAGTATCTTAAGTTCTTAACCAAATAAACATAAACAACCAGAATTTTGTTTTCCACCTTATCATCCACAAGGAGTAAATCGAGTCCACCAAAATCTCCAGGCTTATCGTTATTGTGGAATCGCCAAAAACGGGCAACTCGTGCTTTAATTTTCCAAATTTCGTTCTCAGTCACGGACTCTAGTTGAGCAATCGGTGTAAAATCCAGTTTCATGTTGCAAGCAGAGATAGTAGTACCTGCAATTGAATAGATAAATGTCAAAACAGAGAGAAAGACGATCAACTTTTACGATTTGGGTAATTGGAATTACCTGTTGAGAGGAGGAGCGTTTGTGTTAATTGACTGTTATATAAATTTTTATACTAAACATGTGGTGATTTCCAGAAGATCAGTTGATGAAAGTGATGGAGGTGGGAAGTTGTTCAGAGGATCGTGGGAAGCCGAGAACACAAATCGTGGGCTTTTTTTTTCTTTAGATTTTATTTTTAATTAAAGAAAGAAAACTCTCGAAAAGAAATCTTTTATTAAAAAGAAAAGAAAAGGAAAACTATTAATTGTAATTGAAAAATGAAAAATGAAGATGACACGTGTCGCAACGAAAATCGCCGACTGACTTCTCTTTTATATAATAAAGGATGAAGCCGAGTAGGAATAACATAATTAACGACCTCAAATATATTAATACTGATTGAGGTATATTTTACGTATAAATATCCGTAATATATTTGTTTATATTTAAGTTAAGTTCAATTTGTTAGATTTTTTATGAAATTGAAAATGTCAAATAATTAACTAATGGAAATTTAAAACTGATCGCAAGTAGAAATATCAATTCGATCTCTCATATGTATAGATGAATACATGGTTAGTTAACTAGATCGCTCCAGTAGATGGTTTTACTTTACATAAGAAACAAGCAATTAACGAAAACCGCTTGCTTCCGCAAAAACTAACCGATAAAAAATAAAAATGAGGATCCAAACATGAATTTCTTTTTGCACAAATAAATTTATGTAAAAAAAGCATAAGGAAATTAAATATGATCAGGCATTAAAAGCTTGACTGATTTAAACGCAGCGGTTGTTGTTGCGGTTGTGAGAGTTTGCGGAAGCAAGCGATTGCGGTTTCAAGCACTATATAGCGTTTTAACCAACTGGTTTAGCGGTTGAAAAATGATGCGTTTGCGGGAGATTTACGACTGGTTGATCAGCGGGTACGATAAAATTTACCAAAAAAATGTAATATATAATTGTGTAAAAGTATAACAACACTAAAAACTATATTTATGAAAAAGTGGAAATTTTTTAAACATGATTAATAATTAAAACCATAAATAATTATTCAAATATTAAACAAATATTTTTTATAGTGAAACACAAATAATTATTAATATTGGACAATTAAAGTTAGATAATGATTATTGTTTGAGAATTAATGTGAATATAAATAGAACTTGATAATATATATTTTAATTTGCTTATTTTCCTTTTTAATTTCTTTTTTGTTTTAAACCAACAGCAATCGTCCGCAACCACAAACGCTTGCGGAATGAGCTTTTGAAATCCAACGATTTCGAATTGTTTGAAGCGGTAGAACGGTTTCTACGATTGGTACCAACCGTTGACAACTGTAACCGCCCGCTAACAACCGCTAGACGGGTGATAGCGGGAGAATTAACCAATCAACACCTAAACCATTTACCTCTAGTAGCATAAGGAAACACATGTAAAGTCTTTTCACTAAAATATCAATACAATAATAACATTAAGAATCTCTCCAGGCCTGACACATCAGCATTTTGAGCTATTCTCAGCTTGACACCTCGTTAAAATCATCATCCAATTAAAACATTTCAAATAATACACATCAGCTCTCCAGCTTGACACCTCAGCTTTCCAGCATGCCACATCAGCTTTTTTTATTATTATTAATAAGACATCATTTAAAAAAGAAAACCAATCAAATTAAAACAAATAATACACACAATGATTTTAATTTTTTTGATAATGATAAATGAATTTCTAATTATTTTAATAATTCAATATTTACAAAAAAAATAAAAAAATTATCCTCTTTATTTTTGAAAAATATGTTTGTCATCAAGTGTTTTTTAGAGAACAACATACATGACGTGAATTTAACAAATAGTTTACACCGTGGGTAATTTTCGTAAATTAATTTTGTTTTAATATACGTATTTATAGTAAGAATTTAAAATGTTCTTTGGATATTGCATTTTACCTTTGCTCGTATTTTAATTGTTTTTAGTTTATTATTTTATATATGCATACATGAATAAATAATTGTCTATCTTATTTTTACAAAAGAAATGTACCGTATATTTAATCTTTGTATTTGTTTGTTGTTATTTTATGTTTTTGTATATATTTTACGAATGTTAGATATGTTTTTATATTGTGATATATGTAAATATTTTTCAACAATTATTATACTTCAAAAACCTTAGATTAATTATGTTAAAATTATTTTTGCTACACAAGCATAATTTGAAATCATAGTAAAAATATTTAATATGCCTTTTGTTTTTTTTTTTTAATAATTTTGTTACCATGCCAAGTGAAGTTTGCAATTGCATTTTGACTTATCTTGGATTTATGCTCTTTTTGTTATTTGTAAATTTGGCGAAAACGTCACAAATGTTATTCATTAATTGGTTATTATTATTGATCTATTTTATAAGAGTATATAATTTAGCATAACAAAAAGTTGAGAATAAACTCTGTATTTGTGGTTTATGTTTTGAATGAAGGTGATCTCACGCCGGCTCAAATACTTGATCTACTCTGCAAGAACCTTAATGGTAAATAATTTTAGAGAAAGACAAGGAGAAAGATGGGATTCCAAGGTTCCCCTAAAATGTTAAGAACTGTATGATCGTCATTCTGTAACTGTTTATCATTGAACATTCTAATTTGAAGTCATGAACCAAGTTATATTAATCAATGTTTATGAATTATTTAGCCTATTTATTTTAAAACCCATAACGTAACAAAGCATGGTCCATCTTTTTCGATTTCTATACTTTCATGGATTTTCGTAACTTGTGTTTAGTTAACTTTATCTAATAAGTTTTTCCAGAGAGATTGATATCTCTTGTGGTCGACAGGCTGATTGATTTCAACAGTAAAGTCAAAGTAATAAACTTTCTTATTCTTGCATGTTCTTTATGTTATCTTATATCATGAACCTATGTAGATAACTTTGTTTGTATTTCTTATGGCAAAGCAAAGATGAAGGGTATGTCGTCAAGTTCTTAAACAAGTACACAAAATTGTAATTATATTGTTTACGGTAAACATACATTTTTTATGAAGGGTGTGTTTTTTTTTTTCAAATCATTTTTCTTTTAATTTTGTTGTAATTATATTGCTTTGGTTAAAAAATTTTAAAAAATACCTCGCAGCGTAGCGCGGGTGTCGACCTAGTTAACCCTAAAATTAGTAAAGTTTTTAAAGGTTGGAAACACATGCTTGCCCTGCTTTTATTAAGCGTAGGGTAGGTGACTCGACCTTTAGAAAACAAACCATTATAAGCTTTTGTGGATATTTGGTGATCAAGGATCCGCATTTTTGACCATCTCCCGGATGTTGCTATCCCGTCACATGAGTATAGTCAAGAAGGTCTTATATATGGGGAACAAACATGAATATGTTCTTTCGAAGGACTCGAAGAGGTAATGTGGAGCCTAATATGGTGTTTGCTAAGATTAGAGGAGAGATCCATCCTCTTCACCCAAGAATGTTGGGAGAATATTAGTTGCAATATTGTAAGATGCCTCTTCGATCGAATGATATATATATCATATATTCATATGTAATATGCTTTTTTGATTGATTTATTGGGTATTGAACTCATGACAGAAGGATCCATACTCCTTTTCCAAGACAATTCGCGACTAGACTATGACAAATTTGGAAGGATTTGTTACAATTTACAACTAAAATAGACATTAAGTTTGGATTCATCCCATATTCTTGTTTATGGACTTATTTAAGGACGTACTCACTAGTCACGTAGGATCTCCTTTGCCCATCCCCTGAGATAAAATATCGAATTCGAAAGGACTTGTCAATCGAATAAAGTGAAGAAATGCCCATGTTTATGAGGAATGGCTTCACATAATTTATTCACAAGGGTCGACTGTGTTACATAAAATAAAACAACATAAACTAATAATAATTCAAATTCGTCAGTTTTCCAAATAAAAATATTTATCAAACATCCCCCTATTTAAATAAATATTTTGAAAGGACAAATTTTATTTCTGTTTGCAAGAAAACTTTTGTTAATTCATGGCAGGTTGCATGCACATACATATTTGAAAGTTTCGTTTCGTCAACAATTAAACGAGTAAAAACAATCTACTAATCCTAAACTACTATAATTTATTTTTCGTCTCGAAACTCTTGGCAGTTTCTTACAAATTTAGTTAAGAGAACCTACGATCTTTTGAGAATAAGAGACCCATAATCAAAACTAAAAACCTTCGGTTTATGTGAATATTTGGTTTAAGTTAATTGCTGAAGAAACCTAGCTTTGGACGGTGTTACGACGTTTGTTACATTGAGACAAATAATATAAAATTCTGTCTCCCTCTCTCTCTTTTTTTTTTAAGATTCTTTTAAATATTTGAATTCATTTTAAAGTTTAACTAAAAAAATAGATTTTCTTTTGACAGTTTCTTATGTGTTAGTGTTAGTGACAACCAATATATCCAATTTAATTACTAGGACTTTAGAAAATATATTATTACTAGGATTTGGAATTTTGGATGACATGAACGAAGAAGTGGCAAAACTGGAATGTGTCGGAATTAATCTTAGCCAATGGGACTCACGTAAGTGACATTTTAATAACCCAGTATCCAGACCACACAGTGATCTGACTAGCCCACTGGGTCTAAGCCCGCGTCACAGGGATTTTTAAGCCTCCACTTAAGGGCCCCCTGATAAACTGGTGGTCTGGGGCGCCTGAGCAAGTCCGCAGGTAAATTCCCAGGTGGCCACAGGAGTGAGAGAGCGAAACTGCGCGCGTCTGGAGAGGATCGATCCCTGGCCTAGACCAACAGGGCGATCCTTCCAACCAAACGAGAACCACTCTCCCACCACCATGTGGTTAATAAGTGACATTTTATACCGTTCCAGTTCCAGAATAACTAGTTTAACGATGACCCGTGGGATCTTCATCGTTCGTCAATTCTGATCTCATCTAAATATTCAACGACTCGATTCTTACAAATTGTTCTTTTGTTAAAATATTTTTACAAATTGTTATAAAACGAGTTTTAAAATATCAGTGTGGTGTTCACAATCCATTAGGTAAGCGAAAAAGTAATATCTTCTTTCTCACTTCTCAAATAATATACACAAAACATAGATATCGAAAAATACAAAAAAATACAAAGAAAGTAATTAACCAAGCTTACTTTTACTATATAAACCCTCATCTTCTCTAACTTGTAACCCCAAGAACAAGTTCAACATTTAAAAAAAAAACAAGATCTCGAGATGTCGGGAGTGTGGGTGTTCAAGAATGGCGTCGTACGACTAGTGGAGAATCCTGGAGCTGAGACAAACAATGAGAACACAAAGCGAAAGGTTTTGGTTTACACTCCAAGCAACGAAGTCATAACCTCTTACTCACATCTCCAGCAACATCTCTACGCACTTGGTTGGGAACGTTACTATGAGGAGCCTCATCTCCTTCAGTTCCACAAAGCATCAACCGTTCATCTCATCTCACTCCCTAGTGATTTCTCCAGGTTCAAGTTGATGCACATGTACGACATTGTTGTCAAGAACCGTAACATGTTCCAAGTCAAGGACATGTAACCATTATTTTCTTCTCCGATTTTCGATTTTCAAGTTCTTGATCATAATGGGTTGTGTGTCTCATGGGTGTGGCTTAATATGTACTATATATGTCTCTTGTGAAGCTAACTCTGAGTTTGGTGTTTTTTTTTTTTGTTGGAATTGAATTTTGGATGTACTAATAAAAAGCCTGTAATTATCAAGTACATCTATTTTAAAATGTTAATAATTGTCTACCATAATTGAAATCTCAATGAGATGATTCGTCGGATTTGGTTCCGTAATCCTATTTAATATGAGTATTTTTTAGGCGGAACTAGGATTGTATATGAAACTGAATTTTGTACTTTTGAACAAAGTATTATATATAAAATGTATATTACAAAAAGAAAAAGCTTTAGTTTTGTAGTTGATGGATGATCAATAGTAAAATTTATCAAGATTACATGATCAAGAACTGTCTATAAAAAAAGAAAAAAAAAAGAAGAAAAAAGAACTGTCTAGAATGGATGGGCCTATTTTTTTACGGGAAATTTCTTACGAACATTTTTCATAGAAAAACGGTAGAGAATATATATATATATGTATGTAACACATCACAAGATGTTGATGTCGTTGATATTATAAATATAAATATACTAGAGATTGACCCGCGGTGTACCGCGGGTTTTTAAGTTTTCATTAAGTTTTTGTAGGTTTTCATTAATTTTAATGTTGGATTTTTAAGCCAGTGTTAAATAGTAGTTTTGTTGATTGTGGATAATTTTGGTGTCTAATAGTAGTTTTTATGTTCTAACAGTGTATATATATCTCTCTATATTTCATATTGTGATGATATATTTTTTTTTGTTTTTAATTTATTATTAAAATTCTACTTGCATCAATTTTAGTGATTTATTTTAAAGAAAAAATAGGCTAACCCGTCTCTATACTAAAAAAACATGTAAAATAAAAATTAGAATTGAAAATTGTCATTTTCTCTTTACAAATTTATTTAAATTATGATGTGTTAATATTTTACGAAATGCTCAAAAATCTTAAATTTGCTTTATACTTGTGTAAACAATTCTTAATTTTTTATATGCCAACAACTTCAAATGCTAGTTTTTCGTAGTATATTTAAATCTTCAATATATTGCTAAAATTTAAAATCAAATTTAAAGAAAAAACTAAAAATTGAAACACTAACTTCAATTCGGCACTCTAAATCTCTAATTGGTCCATTTTATAATCGGAGCAAATCGATGACTGCGTCTATCTCCTCGATCATCTCTTCACCTAGCAAAAAACAAAATAAGTAAAATCAGTACCTTACATAATCTAGAGAAAAGACTCTCTAAATTGAGAAGATGATTTTGATTCAAGAATAATCACCTATCATGGTCACGATTTTGATAAGTAACATTTTCGAACTATATGAGTATTATAATTCAAAATAACATTTTTTAATAAATTCGATTGATATAAAATGTTTTCAATGATATATCATTTTCATTAACATTTTCAATAACATTTTTGATAACATGTTCGAATAATGGATTACTATATAACATTTTTGATAACATTTTCGAATAGTAGATTAGTATACAACATTTTCGAATTATATTAATGTGTAATCGTTTGAAGAAATAATTTTTCGAATTATACGAATTATATATACAAAATCTTTTAATATCTTTAAACCCGTTTGACTCGTTGACCTGTTAATATATATTAGTGACATGGAATAAAATGATTATGATTAGAATTCTCTAATGGTATATATTGTAATTTCTTACAAAATCAACGTTATGATCCTTAGGATGTACTTCCCAAATATTAGTATAGGATACACACATAACATAATTAGCTTCAGTCAGATAGGGTACACCTGACCGTAAAATTTCCTTCTCACAATGCAGATATAGATCTTTATTCAGAGATTTCTATCATGGTGCGATCTCGTGATGAATTTTCTTTGTTCATTGATAGCGACAATTACCGTGTCACTGAATGTCGAATCATTGACCTTATAAGTCAAATTAATAGCGGTTTGAGAAGGGTTAATAATCACCGGTATTTTGTTGGTCCTATGAGGTTTCACAGTGGTCAAGAGGATTGTTTTCTCCCACCACAGCATGCACGTATGCAAGGTGGAGGTTTTACATACCTCCAAGCTTTTTTGAGAAAACGCGAATCTGATATCTGTAATATAGTAAAGCCAGAAGATGGTCCAGGTCCAGCAGATGAATTTGAACGACCGCTGATTTCCACCTATTAGACAGGCTTCTGGGCCTCGCGGTTATTGGTAACTTTCCCAGAATATTCATCTGGATTCAGAAATCTCTGAATAATATAATATTTCTAAAGTTGCACAATAACAAATCGAGGACACACATTGGTAAACCAACCCACGTTGGTCCAGTTGGTAAAGGGCTCACGGCTGTGAGTTCCCCCTCCTGGATTCGATTCGGGTTAGCCACCTAGCCGTTCCCTTAACGATGGGGTAAAGCGTACCCGGATGCAAGGCCTCGTGGATTAGTCTTTGGGCCTAGGAAGCCTTTGGGATCCCACGGTTATCAAAAAAAAAAAAAAAAAACAAATCGAGGACGATGACATCAGTTCTCTCCCATGCTAAAACGCTACGGTGACAATGAGTGTGTATATTTTCTTTCGTTTGTTTTATTCGTAATATAGATATTACATTTTTTCTTTTAATGTTAATAAGAGTGATAATAAGAACGTCATAATACATTAATACTTTTGAAGTTTTATTGGACATCATATCATATTAAAATGCATCACAAAAAGGTTTTATGGAATTATTGAATTTTGGATCATTAAAAGAGTCCAAGTCAAAGTGGCATAAAAAGTTCAAGCCAGCTATCAAAACTGTTTAGAAGTTATTTGGACTATATTTATGTTTTGCACTTAAAACCTATTTAGTTGCAAACTTTCTATATTTCATTGGGAATATTGCTGATTTAGGCATTTTTGGCCCAAAAATTTGAGAAATGGAACTAGTATCAGGCCTTCACGTTTTAGGTATTTCTGGGCTAAGTGGAATTACTCATTTACCCTTGAATTTTGGGCTCGATCAACACAACCTCCGGCAACGTCGTCTGTCAATTTCAACTCTCAACACCATCTCCATCTCCATGAACTCAATGGAGTCAAGTAAATGTTTTTTGATTAAAAAACTAAACCCTAATAGTATCTACTAAATCCAAGGGCTCCAATTATAAACACTAATTTAATCAAAACTTCCAATTCATCTTCGAATCTGTAATCCTCTTTCTCTAACAATCAAATCTCTGAAATACTCACCGGAAGATGATATTAAGGAGATGAAATTCACCGTCTTTTCTTTAACCAACGATGAACCAGAGATTAAGAGAGGGAGAAGAACCGGTACAACTCCTTCTTCAGCTAGTGTTGTTCTGATTTCTTCCACGGCGGAGATATTGCTAATAGCACCAGCGATGTGTTCTTGTACTTCTTCAGATCCTGATCTACAAGCTTCGATTAATACGGTTACGCCACCGTAAGCTGAGATAGCCCCAAGCGGTTTCTGGATCGGCGGTTATACCTTCAATCACCACCGCGGCTCTTGTTTTCAACGGTGGAGATCCGATTTAGAGTATCGTAGTAATGGACCTAATCCGCCTTGTTCGAACACCGTCTTTCTTGAAACGACGCTTGATGAAGTTAATAACGAGATGGCGGCGAGTGCATGCTCACGAATCAAAGGATGGTGATGGAGATCAAGAAGAGTATGAGAAAGAAAACCGCGAGAGATAATTGATTGTTTATGTGAGAGGATATGAATCATTACCTCATGAGACGAAGAATGGCACTAATTGGTGGAAGTGCAAGCCACAAACATGTCCCTAATGAGCATCAAACCTCTGGATCAGAGTCTCCCTACGATAATCCCAAAGCTCGATCCCACCGTTGAGCAGACTAGCGAGGATCCATGGTTTCTTGGAATGGAAACTAAGGCCCAGAACTTTGTTACTCGTCGTCTTCTTGAAAGAGATTAACATTGCAGAAACCCTAAGAGATCAACGCAAACAATTTGTGAATTAAGAAGCTCTTCGCCTTTTTTTCTTTCTCCTTTTCCTCTCTATAACAAATTTAAGCGCTTTTTTGAGAAGGGTAGATTCGTCTTTTTTGCTCAAATGAAAATACCATTTCTATAAGCCCCGACAGATAGACCGGATTTGATAATTTTGGTTGGAATAAAGCCCAACCCCGTAATTGATTCATATTTCATTTGTACAATATTTTCATCTCTCAGTTTGCATAACACTTTTATGTATTATGTTTATAGTTGTAAACTATTTATATGTGCACAACATTTCTATCTTTTGCAATTTGTAGTTAAGAGTATATTTTTTGCAGTTTATATTTGCACATATTGTGCATGTTCCACTTTTTCAACCTCGATCGTCATATACGTACTCGTCGCATATGTTAAGAGTAACCGAAGAACAACATGGTTTTGATACCAATCCACCTAACTAAAGAATCTAAGAAAAAGCTAGTAATCATTACCTCATGAGACGAAGAGTGGCACTAATTGGTGGAAGTGCAAGCCACAAACATGTCCCTGATGAGCATCAAACCTCTAGATCAGAGTCTCCTTATGATAATCCCAAAGCTCGATCCCACCGTTGAGCAGACTAGCGAGGATCCATGGTTTCTTGGAATGGAAACTAAGGCCCAGAACTTTGTTACTCGTCGTCTTCTTGAAAGAGATTAACATTGCAGAAACCCTAAGAGATCAACGCAAACAATTTGTGAATTAAGAAGCTCTTCGCTTTTTTTTTCTTTCTCCTTTTCCTCTCTATAACAAATTTAAGCACTTTTTTGAGAAGGGTAGATTCGTTTTTTTTGCTCAAATGAAAATACCATTTCTATAAGCCCCGACAGATAGACCGGATTTTATAATTTTGGTTGGAATAAAGCCCAACCCCGTAATTGATTCATATTTCATTTGTACAATATTTTCATCTCTCAGTTTGCATAACACTTTTATGTGTTATGTTTATAGTTGTAAACTATTTATATGTGCACAACATTTCTATCTTTTGCAATTTGTAGTTAAAGAGTATATTTTTTGCAGTTTATATTTGCACATATTGTGCATGTTCCACTTTTTCAACCTCGATCGTCATATACGTACTCGTCGCATATGTTAAGAGTAAACGAAGAACAACATGGTTTTGATACCAATCCACCTAACTAAAGAATCTAAGAAAAAGCTAGTAATCTTTAAATACATGTAATGGAAAGTTCAAGAGATCTAATGTTTGATTGAAAAGAGGCTTTTCCTTCTACATTTAGCATTATTTCAAAACTTGATGTCTTGCTATCTTTAAAGGACAATCATCGTTAGGTGTGTCTACATGTATGACCATCATTTGTAATTCTTTAGAAAATGCATTGAAGCTCGTATCCAAGTTATTGAGCAGATGGCGAGAGACAACACACGTTGGTGCTAGGTTTAAACACGAAGGGTTTTAAGGTTTTGAATTTTAAAAAGAATTAGATGTTTCTTACAATGTTAATTTAGATTTAGATTTAGACCTACAAAGGACCAAATTTTAGTAAACTAAATACTTATTTTCTTTATCTCTCAGAGTGTATTACTTGATTTGCGATCTGGTTTACTATATAGGAGAAGTTAAAAATCAAACCTAAAATCCGAATTTTGGATTGAGATTGGATTAAAATGGCTAGGAAGTAGGCCTTGAAAAAAATATCGGAACTGAATCAAAATCGAACCGAAAAAGAGGGACTAAAAATCCAGAACCGACAAAATACCGAACATATTCTAGACTCATCTATTTGAAGAATTGGAACCTAATCCGAACCAAACCGAGAACTAAGTACTCGAAATACCCGACTATATTTATATATCCAAAAAATATTAATTATATTTAGACTTTATATATCCTAGTAATTACCCAAAATTTGAATTATAAACTCAAAGATATCAATTATTTTTTAGACCAAAATAACCAATTTACTCAAAATAACAAAAATATTCTAAAGGTTTTAGTTATATTTATCAAAATTTAACCATTTTAAAGAGATTTCCAATATTTCGGATACTCGGAATCAAACCGAAATTGCCTAAACCCGAACTGAAATTCTATAATATCTAAATAGATACTAAGCTCTTCTATCCGAGATACCCGAAACCGAATGGATCTATCCAGAACCAAACCGATATCTGAAATACTTGGAACCAAAAATGGATCTACCTAAAAAAAACAAACCGATACCCGAACGACCACACCTACCTATCTGACATGAAGAACCAGATACAAAAAGCCCAACACTAAGATTCATGACAAACCCAATACAAGTGCACAAGCTCATGTAATTAAGTAGATTCATAATATACACATGTTTTATCAATGGAAGTTACTAGCGTTGGCTTTCCTGCAACCTTCTTTTGTCACATTTCATGATGGTCTTTCTCTTTTTTAAAACAAAACTTTGTGAGAGTCTTTTTGATCTTCTAATTAGTATTCCATCTGTCCTATTTTATAAGATCTTTTAAGTAAAAACACAAAGTTAAAAAACCATAAATATTTTATCAGTTTTTACATTAAAAAATATTATGTAACATTTACTTTTAAAAATTTAGCTAATTTAAAAAAAGATTGCACAGTTAAAAATATTCATAACATATTAAATAAACATGAATTATGTATAGATTTTTTTAATCTATTAAAATGAAATAAGAAAAAAATCCTAAAACATCTAATATATATTGGGACAGTGGAAATAGTTTTTTTTTTGTTTTGTTTTGTTTTTGAGGGTCTTTCATAGTCGTAAAGGAAAGGTTTAAGAGTAACCATAAAACCCTTTGAAACAATTTATTTACTTTAAGAGGAATTGATATTTCATTAAACCGAACCGACAAGAGTCCTAAAAAGGGCAAATTTTATAAAAAAGCCAGCTTTAAACTCTCTATCGGAGAACACGAACGTTGACGGAGAAAGAATCTCTCTCAACTTTTTTTATATAATCTTTTTCCCAAGTCAAATCATTTTCAATCTCCACCCAGCTCTCAAATCCGCGGCAAACGTTTAAGGGTCATCTCAAATTTTCTTACTTTTTCCCGGAAAATCATCAATGGCGAGCCTTTTCGTCTCTCGCTTTATCAGGTAAAAGATTCTGAAAATTTTCCGTTTTTGATTATGATTTTATTTGTTGCCTTGAATTCAGTTTCTTTCCTTATTTTTGGTTGAGGTTTATTATATTGATGAAAGGGTTTTGGAAACTTTTTAATTGATTTAGCTTATAGAGACGAAAACCCTAGAAAATATGAGTCCTACGACGGCGACGGTCGATGATCCGGGACAGATTAAACGTGCCCTCATTGATGCTTCTGCCGGAGCTATCTCTGGTGGTGTTTCTCGTACCTTTACTTCTCCTCTTGATGTCATTAAGATTAGATTTCAGGTTTGGCCTTTTTTCTATTCTCTTGAGTGATAAAGTTTAGCTTTTTTTGCTTTAGCTGAGGAATATTTGAGTTTGTTGTTGTTGCTTTGGATTGTATTGTGGAGTTATCCTTCTGGCTATGTAGAGATGGCCTGAGGAAAGTTATATGTGATTGCAGGTTCAGCTAGAACCGACGACTTCATGGGGTTTGGTTCGGGGAAACTTGTCAGGAGCATCTAAGTATACTGGAATGGTTCAGGCAACTAAAGATATATTTAGAGAAGAAGGTTTTCGGGTCCGTCTCTTGAACATTTACATTTCCTGAAACCACTTCTTTTTTTGTTTATAGTGTGTGTGGCATTGGGTTTTATGAGGTCTTGTTCTCTGTTCTGATGTTTGATATTTGTTTTCTTTAGGGGTTTTGGCGGGGTAATGTGCCAGCTTTGCTTATGGTCATGCCATATACTTCAATTCAGTTTACAGTACTACATAAGTTGAAATCTTTTGCATCTGGTTCGACTAAAACAGGTAATAAGTCTACTGAGTAACATTGCAGTCTCTCTGGATATGGTACTTGGTAGATTGCCAGTGCTTTTTTTTTTGTAGTCTGGTGGCCATTTTAGGGGTATCCTTTCTTGTCACTTGTGAAAGAGAATTCACTTAGGGCAATTTCTTCAGATTCTGTTTGTTGATTGTGTATTTGTTATAATAGGTTTTGTAAGTGACTCTTATAATTTAGAAATTTAATGTGTTTCCTTACTTATTAGCTGGTTGTAATCTTATGGCAATGCAGAGGATCATATACATTTGAGCCCTTATCTATCCTTCGTCAGTGGAGCGTTAGCAGGATGTGCTGCTACACTAGGATCTTATCCCTTTGATCTTCTTAGGACAATATTGGCATCACAAGGGGAGCCAAAGGTTTATTGCTTGACTTATGAACCCTGTAATATAATTTAAATCTCTTGCCCCAGGGGTTTTTCTTGTTTTTCTTCCTTATTCATGCTTAAGTGACATATAGATTACTGATGGATGACTGTCTACAGGTGTATCCAACAATGAGGTCTGCGTTTGTCGATATTATTCAGTCTCGAGGCATAAGAGGATTGTATAATGGATTAACACCAACTCTTGTTGAGATTGTGCCTTACGCTGGCCTGCAATTTGGCACGTATGATATGTTTAAGCGTTGGATGATGGTAAGAGCATAGGAATATATCGTTTATGTGTGATGTTTTTATAAAAAATCTTTTTTTTTTTTTTCTGGTGACAATCAAGTCATTTGATTTTTTTTAAACAGGACTGGAATCGATACATATTATCCTCCAAAAACCCGATCAACGTGGATACCAACCTTTCTAGCTTCCAGCTTTTTATTTGTGGGCTTGGGGCGGGCACTAGCGCCAAGCTCGTCTGCCATCCTCTTGATGTGGTCAAAAAACGATTCCAGGTCAGTTAATCTTTACCCAATGGATCCAAACTATTAAATTCCTTATTTATTCACTTCAGCGAGAACTACACATCATAGAGACTAGAGAAACTTGATTAATGAAAATCTCTACTCGACCTAATTACACATCCCAAACTTCCTATTAACCACTTAGCTCTCTTGCTAACTTACTCAACTATAGTTGCTGAGTTGTCAACACATCTACTATCTACTACAACCAGCTAGGGTAATTACAATGCTCCTACACTGAACTAGCGCAATGACTTATTATATTCACGTGGTTTCGTGTTTTGAGTCTATCCTTATGTATCTTAGACTAGGCTTTCACATTTGCTGCACTATGGTATTTGCTTGCAGAGTCTACTTACTGTTTCCTGGTACCCCACTTGTTCTGTCACCATAGAAAGAAAACTCAAATTTGTGTGAAACATTTCGTAAATGATAAAAGCTTCTCAAACTTGCCAGTGGATCTCCATCGCAATGATCATGCAGTTGCTTTTTCAAAAATGAAATAATAGAAATGCCAGAAAGATTTTGAAAGACTCTTTTATTGCAGATTGAAGGTTTACAGAGACATCCAAGATATGGAGCCCGAGTGGAGCGACGTGCATACAGAAACATGTTAGACGGTCTCAGACAGATTATGATATCAGAAGGGTGGCATGGGCTGTACAAAGGCATTGTGCCATCGACTGTGAAAGCTGCTCCTGCTGGTGCTGTAACCTTTGTGGCCTATGAGTTTACCTCCGACTGGCTGGAATCAATTTCTTGGTAGAGATTTTACTCTTTTGATACTTATATCTTACTGTCTCTAGCATTTCTTATAGGCGAAAAGGCCCCATTCACGGGTGTGTTAAGTATATCATATAAACATTGATCATTTTTGGAATTATTACATGTAAACGTCAAAGTGTTGGCAACTGCTGAAGTTTTTAACAAGTGTGGTGAATTTTGTAAAGTTCGGAATACAAAATGTAACTCAAAAGATCCATGAAAAAATTGTTATATGATGATGAAGAAATTCAAATTAAAATACAAGAAAATGTATTGCACGACTGCTGTAAGAAAATGTATTGCAAAATTTGTTATCTTGGAGATTTTTACCCTCTAAATCACACTTCAAAATTCCAACAAACAGAAGAATCAAAACCAAAATGTTGGGCAAATTCAGCTATATAAGTACAATTTGTCCTGTCTCCCTCTATACTAAAGCTAAAGCTTTGCAGGTCTTCTTGTTGTGTCCTAAACCCTTGCAGTTGCTACACTGGAGCTGACGCTTGACCATGTCCAGTGGCTCCACTTGCTTACTCTTTGTCCTGCCCGGTGGTGTTAGTCTCGTGGGCGGTGGTGTCACTGAAACAACACCCTCACTAGGCGGCTCCTCCGACATCATCATTGTTGTTGTGTTAGGGACAGGGTTAATGGACTCGGCGTACATTAAACGGTAACTCTCTAAGGTGAAGTAACTGGAGCAGTACTCATAAGGGCTTTTTTGGATGCATTCAATCACTGCAATTGCGTGGCTACACGGTAAACCTGTTAGTCTCCACAGCTTACAGTCGCAATCACACTGATTGATATCAACTATGTTGATGGATTCACCATGAACCTCGAATAAGCTAGTATGAGTCGCGGAAACATGAGGCGCTGAAACCTGAAGTGACCTTGCAAGTTCTATTTCTTTATGTAGCTTCACCTCGTTGGTTGGTGTTAGCGTTGTAACAACCCATTCCCGGGATTGTACCTGACGGGTATAAATCGATTGCATCAACTTTGCTCTAAGTTCATCTATCATTTGGGTTATGGGCAACTCATGTGCTTCAGAAACCCAGCTGTAAAAATCTACCCCAAAAGTGGAGTTCATGTGGTTATATCTCTCCCCTTCAAACAAAGCATTTGCCCAATGGAGCGGTTCACTTTCAATAACCCAAGCGTAAGCATCAGGGGAAATACTTTTTATATTCTCCAAGGAACGGTAATATGCCTCAGGTTGTGTCGCATAAGCAGCAGCATAGAAATCATTGAGTATAAACCGTATTGCTTCATGAGAAAACTGAGCCTTCAAGTCCATATTTAATTTCTCGGCGAGGTGGCGCAGACAATAGGCATGATGGTGTTGCTTTTCAAATACCAGAGGCAATGCAGTCTTCAGACCGTTTTGGAAATCTGCAACAAATGTGATTGTCCGGGAATCAGCCAATGCCAATTTGAGATTCTCCAAAAACCAGACCCAGTTATCTTCTGTCTCAGAATCCACAACCGCAAAAGCTACTGGAAATATTCCATCTTCGGCATCAGGAGCTGTAGCAACAAGCATAACCCCTTGGTACTTAGAGTTTAAGTCGGCACTGTCAAGGAAAAGGAGAGGGCGACAACCTTGTCTAAACCCAGATATTGATGCATAGAACGATATGAAAAGCCGATGGAAACTCGAATCTTCTTTTGTCATGAAAATAGCAATACTTCCAGGATTTGTCTCCCTGATCTTCTCGCAGAAAGAAGGAAGTTGACTATATGCCTTTTTATAAGAACCTTGAAGCTGCTCTTTGGCAATCTCTTTAGCTCTCCACGCCTGTGAGTAATTCAGTTGAATCCCATACTCTCTTTTTATATCCTCTGCAATATCCTTTGGTTTGTAATCCGGAAAAGCTTTCAACTTCTCCTTTATGATACTTCCAACCCAACCTCTACTAGCACGGTAACCGGCTTTCACAACCGCCCTCTCACACGTGTGCCTTCCATTCATTTTCTTAATGCAAATCAGCTGAGTGGTCGAAAGCCTTGATGCAGTGATACGCCATGGACAACCTTGAGCTTTGCATTTGACTGAAACACGATGGCTGTCGTTCTTCTTGTACTTGTAAGTGAACCCATGTGCGATCGAGTACTTGTGCAACGCATCTCGGAATTCTGTAAAGCTGTTGAACCTTTGATCAACACCCGTAATAGCGTTTTCCCACTGCTGTGCTGCTTTTATATGATGTTTCTCATCAGTCAATTCAAAATTGCACGGCAAAGGGCTGCTTTCTTCAGGCAGCATTCCCATTTCGATCTGAAAATCATTTGTTATCATATCATCTCCCACAACAATATCTCCTGCAGACACTACAGGTACCACTGCTTCTGATGCAGTTGTCCTACTTGACCTGTCAAAGAATAAAGAAATCCGCACATCATTAAACAATGTTGATAAAACCGTTAGGTGTCAGAGATTAGACATCACTTTAACAAAGGATCACAGCAAATTTTCACATATTGAAGTAGAAACAAGAACACACACCTACTAGCTGGCATATTGGAGACATTCCTAGCATCGGCTTCTTCGGGTAAGACAAAGATTTCGACATTTGCTGCGTCTGCGGAAAAGCTAACCATGCGTTTGAAATCTTTATCCTTAGAGATAGTAATTAAGGTTTTCTTGTTTCCAGGGAGAAAGTACTTGAGTGTCATTGTCTCCCAACTAAACCCGAAATTCTCCGCCAATTCTGATTTAAAATCGGTCATAGAAGTGTCCTGATCAATATCTATGGCATAAGCATCACCACCAGAATAAGCTAATGATCCATCTTTATTAGTTACAAACTCTCCTCCTGACTGACATATAGCTATCACTTTCTTCGTCGCCATAACCAAAACCTTCAAATTTACAAAACAAGAATCTGATTTTAGGGAGGAGCAGTAATAACACCAACTCAAATTGGGATTATAATCCTCAGCTAAGGCAAGGCTACATGATTTAGCGATAATCTCAAAATTACGGAACCCTAAGATCAGAAATTGAATATTATTTACTAAGAACCCTAAAAACTAAGCTGGGTAATGAAAAAGGGTACCTTTTGATAAGGCCAAGGTGAAAGAGAGCGAGAGAGAGAGACGACGCACTGAGTTCTCGTTGAAAGTCGGAGAATCAAAATCCAGAAGCGAAGAAACGACAGAGAAGAATCCGTAGGTTTCAAACTATGACGTCAGCAAAACGGTGCGTTTTCTGCATCATAAGGTCTAGATGACTATATGTATAATTTATTTGTGAATATAAGTAAATTCATTTATAGTCTTTGTCTTTATTGTTAAATGAATTTATTTCTAAATATTAAATTTTCAAGTCCAAACTACAAAATTTATAACTATCAAATCATTAGTTTTATGATGTTATCTCAATTCAAATGTTTCTAGAATTTTCTTTATAAATTAATAGTATATAATAATTTATAACAATCAATTAATATTTATTAATATCACTATAAATTGAAAAAATATCATTGAGGTTTTACTGTAGTATATCACAGATTTTTTAAAAAATAGAAATAGATTTTTATTTATGAGAATATGGTTTTCAAAATGGATGAATTAGTTTCCATTTGACCCATTCACTCACCCGGTTAAAATATATTTGGTATTTGGTAGGTCGATCCTCTAAGAACCGCTATCATCTACCTTAATATGTTCTATCGTATGACCGTACGCATGATTCTAAAACAAATTTATATAAAAAAAATGATAATCAAGTATATTTAATTTTTCAAGAAAATTTTCTATCATTAAGTAAAATCCAACTTAAAAACTATAAACGTTCATACTGGAAAAAGACTAACATTTCGATTTAAAAATATCATATACTTAAATTTGGTTTGGTGTTCACTCAAGTATAACCAGCTTGAAACTGCTATCAACAATAGGCTGGCTGGCTAACCCACAATACCCTTTTTTGGACATCTAAAAATAATGCTCCATTTGTCCCATGTCAGAGCAGTTTATGTTTCCAAACACTGCTAAAGTCTACACTGTCTAGTGGTGGATATTACAGTCATCAGAATCCACAAATTCAACTTATAATGTTTATCTAAAAGTAGTCATTTGCACAAACTGCTTCTGAAGTCGGACAAAAAAAAGCCCGAGAAAGATGACCTTAAAATAAAAAATACAGCAACATACCGACCAAGGCAAGCTTCTACTTCAATCTAGAGAAAAGAAATACACAATTTATACATAAAGTAGACTTTTGAGCTTAAAGATTTCTATTGTTACATTTCTTCTATCCACAGTCTTTTCATCTAAAAATATTACTACACACAACATGTTGCCTCAAGTTTGGGCACAACTGTTAGTTTTCCGTATCCGCATCTGGAAGCGGAGAATCGTGAGCCAGTGACTGCAGAGGAGAGAAACAACATGAGTGAGTTTAGTTAGCATCTGCCTCATATTTTATCCTATTCTGATAATCTGATTTAAGCTTTTTACCTGTTCTTGTGAGCGGAAATACATGAAGGGTGTGTAGTTGAGGAAGTTGGAGACTCTTGATGTGTATATATCCGCATACCTGTAACCAATTTTCAGGGAAGTAAGTGTAGTTTAAATGTGAGCTTGGTTTGAGATTATGAGTTACTCAGAAATGCAGAGAAGAGGCATAAATACTTTTCGATTTGTCTCATCAAGTGGCTTTTATCCCACAAACCCGCACGTGAGAGGAAGCCCCACCTGGAAAACAGCCCAAGAATTATGGCTCAGACATCATTTTCTGTGATTCTTGAGTCATCTAACTACATTTGTTTGTCTTTTTCTTTTTACCTTTTGTTAAAGAGCTCGCCATCTGTTTCCAGCATTAGACCAATCTTATCATCTAGTCTTTGCATTACAATGAGAAGCTTCTGCATAGTCTCTGTCAGTTCTTGATCATCCAAGTTGGTAGCAGCCAGGGTCTGGAAGGAAAAGAGAAAAGGGTTACTTTTATAAGCAATTTCCATCACAAATTTCTATTCTATTTATCTCATCGTACTACCAATTGTGTTCAACACAGAAAGAGAAGAAGAACTCTAGAGCTTGTGAGGAGATAACCAAACCTGAGCAGGACGGCCTTTGCTTCGTCTTTGAAGAGCAAGCCGAAGCTGGTTAAAGAGATCCCCAACAACCTCTTTTTGATTTATAAGCTCTATTAGCTCTTCTCGGTGACCACGACTGCCAATTAGAGCCATATACTGCAAAGAAACAAGACCAAATCGATTTTTTTCTGTTACTTCAATGAATGAACTCCCTCTAAGTTCTGTCATCTATTAATTATAGCTGAGAACATAATTTATCCAAACCTCTTCTTCCAGTTCACGGCAAATCAGTGCAGTTCGCCACCTGAGGTGGACTTTGGATACACTGACATCAGTGTAGATGTGGTCACCGACATACAGAATCTCATCTCCATGAACGTTGAGTGAACTCTCTATCATTTGAGCACTTCCTCCGGAGTACAAACCTCCTATGGGAGACAAACAGTAAGAGGAAAGAGAATTTTTAGCTTTCTCCACCGTAAAGTCATCAGCTTATATTCAGTAGAAACAATGAGAAATCACCTGTTTCAGCCTTGAAGCATGGGCGCATCAATCCCTCTCCAGTCACAACCTCGTATAAAGGGTGTGACATCTGGAAGAACTCTGGTTTCCTCGCAGAAACTATCACCTATGTGGAAACATGAATTCAAAAGCAGTAAATTCTAATGCAAACTACTCTCTGAAAAACAACAGCTTTACAATTAAAATACAGAAACAAATTTACGTCTGCTCACCATGTCAAAAAGATCTCGCCAGTCCATGTCATTGGGAAGGAATTTGTTAAATGAATGCTTCATCATTTTGTCTGTGTAGTGATAATCCGAGTTTGTGATAAGCAAGAGCTTCTTACCAGCCTATGAGCGAACAGGACGATATTAACAACTGAAAACATCATAATTAGATATTTCGTGTGAAGACTGAAACATTACCTCCTTTTGATCTAAAAGAGCTAAAGGTAATTCTGGGTCTGGCTCGACAAATAGTTCCGGCTTGGACATTATCTCACTCTGCAAAGTAACTATTATTCAAGAGGGACCTGAGAAAACTGATTTTTAAGAAAATGATTATGGAATGGACAAACTATCAACCTTAAGTTGTCCTTCAACATGTGCTCTGAAGAGAGCTTTTGCAACAGCCTGGAAAAAAATGATTAGAGAAAAAAATATACAAAGCTTTCAATTCAATGAAACTTAGGTTCTATGAAACACAACCTTGTACAGTCCTTTATAATCAAGAGTGCCAAGATCTTCCGAAATACATCCATCATCCAATCTATCAACCATCTGAAACAACTTGAACTTTAATTGCTCAGCAGAGGCCATACGGAAAATTTTGTAAAAAGAAAGCTCATTGGGGTGAAGAAGCATTAGTTGAGAAAACGAATGTGAAGATTATGAGTTATACATCAAGAAAGTAAATTATGTCCAAAATCAACTGCGAATTATTCAGCTACCATTTCTTGTAATAAAAGAACGTACCTGTGCATAAGCCAGAGCCTCTGAAACAGAAAAAAATGTATTGAGAAACTCCCATCGACTCTGGTTCCGCAGGTCAACTAACTCCCTTCCATAGATCTCACTTTCATCCATAAAAAGACAATAAGAGAATGAGACTTCCTCAAATAAAGAACAACTCTCTTTTTCTTCACACTACCAATGGTGTTGAAAAGTCAAATATACCTGACAGCTTTATTTGATAACATCTTTGTACCGTGCATGGCTCTCTTCACATACCCAAATCTATCGGCCTTGACTAAATTACCTTTCTCTTTGTCAATCATAAGACCCCTGATAACCTATAATAACAGAAAATATAGTTTGAGCAGCTTAGTACTCTAAAAACTAGAGAGGATACTACAATGTGGAACCTTTCAACTATCACAAGAATAAACACATCACCAGTTCCGGATCAAAAGCAAGTCCATCAACAGGGAAACCCATGCTCTTTAGATTTTCCATGCAATAGTCATAAGCCTTTCCTTCCCAAGCCTGAACAAGACCATAAATTAGCGTCAACGATGGCTTTATCTGCTGTATAAATGTTTCCTACTTATGTATGAGAAAAGAAGAATTCACCATGACATTGTAGTGCATCAAAGTGTAATCCATATCATACCCAATCGCACTAATGGACCGTAGATTCAATGTACGACTACAAAATATACCACGAGGAGAGTGTTGCGCAGAGAAAGGACCCTGCAATATTAAGGCATGAAAATGTGAGACACCAGAACGATTAAAGTCCTTACAATCATATCTAAGCAACTAAAGCAACCTCAAACTCCAAATACAGAAAATATGTAACACACAAGTCATAAGGATTAGATAACGAACTTGGATACCCAACTCTCTAATCAAATTTTCCGCGGCTTGAGCCTCTGTTCTCGCTACCTCCTCAATTGGACCTTCCAATGTAGCCTGCCCATCTCCTACATAAATACACCAAAGTTACATTTACTAATCATGAAGACTGCAGAACAGCAAAATGTAAACTTTAACTCGTACAACGTGACATCCACAATAAAGGTTCAATCTTTTTAGCTCTTATTCATCTCAATTAAACAAACATCAAGTTCCCTAACCAAAAACAAAAACTTTATTCCACAATTCACTAAAAACCAAATTCCAATTTCGAAAACTAGCAAAAGAAATTGGAAGATTGTATATATAGTTATATACCAAACGACTGAAGTGGGTCAAGCTTGAGATTCAAATCTCCCTTAGTACTTTGACCCAAATAGTCAACTTCATACTTAGAAGAAGTAGTAACCGAGAACACATCATCTCCAACAGCCACGCGACCACCGTCAGCTCCGGCGGCTCTGCACTTGATCATCCTAAGAGATCTCCTTTTGCTTCTTTTCCTCAAATCAGGTAATTCCGCAGCAGAACAAGAAGGAAACCTCGTCTTCGTTGCCATATCTCTCCACAGAAGCATTTTGTCGAACACCTGATCGGCACATAGATTCATTCTCACTTTGGGCGTTTGTGTACTGTAAAGAGATGAGAGTTGGGGAACGTTAACTGAGAAATTAGGCATCGTCTACACTCGCTCCAGTGTGTGAGACAGAAAACGACAGAACATCGACGTTTGAATTCGGAAAATGGCGTGATGTTTGAACTTCTAGAAGATGAGAGTTTGAGAGA